CCCCAAACCCCCAAAACCCCAAAACCCCAAAACCCCAAAGAATATATAAGCAGCTGAAATTAAGAAATTTATAATATTAATTTAAATAATGGCTGCACCAGAAGAACCTGACTTTTTGGATTGCGTATACAATGAATGTGATAATGCAAGGAAATATTTCTGTCTCAATCACAACAAGAGAGTCTGCGCTGACTGCGCATGTGCTCTCCATTACGGATGTAACCTCCAGACCATCGGGTGTCATGATGAACTCTGGAAGGCTACCGGACTGCTCCAGAAGCTGCTCCAAACTCTGACTGACAAAGCCAAAGAGTTCGATATGAAAGATCAGATCGAAGGGCTTGATGGCTGTCTCAAACACTTCTCCGATACATTCAACACATTTGAACAAGAAGTCAGATACGCTCTGAAGAAGAAAAACCAATATCTCAAGATCACCCCTCTGATAGAAAAAGCCAGAGTCATCAAGAATGCCATTCTGACTGGAGACTTCGGCAAGCACGGCAAGTTCGAAGGAGACTCCAACCCAGTGCTGAGACTGCTCTACGACAGCACTCTGATTAGCTTGACATACAGTAAGATTGGAGAACAGAAGAAACAAGACATCAAGAAGAGTCCAGAATTCTTGCAAGTTCTCAGAGAAGTGACCACTGCCCAGAGAGAGCACATCGAGAGCAAGGCTGCAAGAGAATTAGAAAAGAAAAAAGAAGAAGTTGAAAAACAGACAGAGGCAAAGTACAGAGAACAAATGAGTAAGTTCACTGAAGATATAACTTGAATGGGTTCTTGGCTTTTAATCTGCAATATGCCAGCAGCTGTAAACTCACCCTCAGCCTACTCTCTAAAGCTCCATGCTGTATCTCCCTAGCTGTCATCCATCTCGCTCATACAAGTCAGTGGCTGTGGCCTAGCCTGTTAGCTATGAGGCCAAGTGCAGTGGGTTTGGGCAGAAGGGATTCCGAATGGATAGTCTACAGTGGGAAAGGAGGAGTTGTGTTCGTCATTAAGAGTTAGGGATTACGAGCTGAGGGATCGGAGGGTGGTACTTAGGAGTCAGGACTTGGTAGAACTATTTGGTGGTATTTTGAGTTTTTATCATTGACAGTTTTAGAAAATTGGCTCTTTGAAATTTGGCAATTCTTATTTTGGTTGTTTGTATAAAGAATTTAGAACAGCAAAAGGAAGCTGGTGATAGAATCATCTTAGACCTAAGTGCTAAGATTGAAGACCAAGACAGACAAATTTTCACAGAGAAAGAGCTGAAAGAAGACTTTGAACAACAACTCTCAATTCTTAAATTGCAGCATCAACAGCTCCAAACCCAACATGATGACCTTCAACTAAAATACAATCAGAACGATCAACAGCTCAAACAGAAGGAAGGAGTTTTGAAAATGTAAAAGATCAATAACTGAAGCCATTTACAAAGACACTTTAGGAGAAACAAAGACTTTTAACTCCAATACCAATCTTGAATTGAGCTTTGACAATACCAAACACAAAGATCTAATTGATTCATTGTCAGACAGCCAAGTTAAACTCCCAGACATCAAGAGGATTAAAATCGACAACATCAAGAACTCTCACTTAAAAAGCATCGACAAGTTCTTGGAGAAGTCTTTCCCAGACTCTCTCCAGCTTCTGTGTTTGAATCGGAATGCCTTAGAACTACTGGAAGGAGCAAAGATAATGGAAGGAGTCACCCACAGTTTACCAAATGTCACCAAAGAAATTTATTTAAGACGTCTTGAATTCCAGTCTTCTGAAGTAGAAACCATTTTCCGACACTCAACTCAAACCCAGAGACTTATTTTCAGATTATGCAAAATACATACGAAGCAGAACATGAACTTTGTCCCCGGAAAGACCAATATTACTTACCTCAGTTTTGACAGTTGTGGGTGTTCCTCAGTCTGAATGGAGTGGGACACCCACCCAGAAAGATTTGAGTACATAGTGGAAGCCATCAGTAAATCCTCGCTCAAAGACACTTTGAAGACTTTGAATATTAACATTTGTAAGATCTCTTCAGCCAAAGTGGAGGAGATGATGACGACTCACGGAATGACTAAAGTTAAAGTAGTGGAAGAATATAATAACCCTCTGAACGATTAAGGACTGAAAGCAGAGCCAAGCCACCAAGTTAATATAAAGTTGGGCTAAACTTGGAATAATTGTGAAGGTCGGGAGGAAATTTTATATGGGTTTGTTTGGATCTTGGGGATGGTGATTTAGGTATGATGATATTTCAATGGTGTTACTTGAGTGTGGGGTTTTGGGGTTTTGGGGTTTTGGGG